GAGGCTTGAATTTTTTCTTCAGTTCCCCCAGCTTGAGAAATACTGACCGTGTTCTTCCCTTTTGGTTTTCCAACTCTGGCTATACATCCTCTAATATTCTTCTTCAACATCATAATTCAAATACACTGAATTCTTCCTTATTCATTCTCCAACTTTCAAATGAATATGAGGCAATTGCAAATACCATGGCTTGAGTCAGGCACATCTTAGTCCTCAAACTGGTATCTTTTCTCTTTAACTCTTTACTAGAGATCTTGTACAGGGTTTCCAAGGCTGTAAATCTTTATGGGATCAGAAAGCCTCATCTTTCTCCTGCAGGACAGCTGGTAGTTTTGAACTGCTGACCTTGAGGTTCACAGCCCAATTAGTAACCACTATGCTACCAGAGCTCCTTCTGCTATTGTTTTAGTATTTACTAAATCTTTATGATTTTCCTCTTTTAAAAATTTTGTTTATTAATTTCCTTTGAAGTTACGCTGTAATTTATTACTTTCTCCTAAAGTTTTTAAAAGAGTCTGCTCTATCTGGAAATCCACTTGACTTCCTCTCTATTTGGAAGTTCTGTAACTACACTACTTCTTCCATTTTTTACTTTGTAGCTGTCCTCATTTACAAATTGATATCTCTGGTTCCCTATTTTCAGTCTTATTTACTTTACTTTGCAAACTTCTATATCAGGATTGGCTTACGGATGATGATGTCATGTGTATTAATCTCAGGGTGTTGCTTGCCATTGTTGCTATTCTCGGTCCAAAAAACGCCCTTTAGTATTTCTTGCAAGGTTGGTATGGTTTTTACAAATTCCCTTTATTTTGGGAAATGTCCTTATTTTGCTGTCATATTTGAGGGATAATTTTGCTGGGTGTATGATTCTTGGTTGGCATTTTTTTCTTTCACAGTTTTGTATATGCCATCCCATTGCCTTCTTGCCTGCATGGTTTCTGCAGAAAAATCAGAGCTTAGTCTTATTTGTTCTCCTTTGAAGGCAATATTTTGTTTTTTCCAAGTTGCTTTCAGGAGGCTTTCCTTGTCTTTGGTTATAAGGAGTTTGAATGTGATATGTCTTGGTGATTTTCTTTTGAGATCATTCTGTTTGGGGTTTGTTGAGCTTCTTGCATGCTTTTCTTCTTGTCTTTCATGATATTAGGGAAGTTTTCTTTCAACAAATATTGCACAATTTTCTCTGTTTATTATTATTTTGTCTCTTCCTGTTCTGGAAGTCAGGTCACCCTTAAGTTATTTCTTTTGATGGTGTCTACATAATTTTTCAACCAACTGTCTGACAGTGTCATACTATGGTGACTCATGTGTTGCTGTGATGCTGGACGCTATGCCACAGATATTTTAAATACCAGCAGGGTCATCCACAGTGGACAGTTTCAGCTGAAGAAGATGAAGACAGACTAGGAAGGAGAGGCAAATTACTTCTGAGAATTTAGTCACAGAAAACCTTATGAATAACAGTGGAACATTGTCAGAGCCAAAATATTGAATATTGAAACATGGTGAAGAGCACCAGAATACTGTCAGATATAGTGCAGGAAGATGAGCCCCTCAGGTTGGAAGACACTCAAAATGCAGCAGGGGAAGAGCTGCCTCCTCAAAGTAGAGTTGACTGTGATGACATGAATGGAGTAAAACCTTTAGGACCTTCATTTGCTGATGGGGCACAACTCAAAACGAGGAGAAACAGCTTCATTCATAATTGGAACATGGAATATATCAAGTATGAATCTAGGAAAACTGAAAGTTAGCAAAAATGAGATGGAATGCATAAACATTGATATCCTAGGCATTAGTGAGCTGAAATGGGCTGACAATGGCCATTTTGAATCTCACAATCACATGATTTACTATGCCAGGAATAACAAATTGATGAGGACTGGCATTGCAGTCATTAAAAAGAACATATCAAGATCTGTCTTGAAGTGCAGTGCTGTCTGTGACAGATAATAAACACAAGCCTACAAGGAAGATCAGTGAATACCATTATTATTCAACTTTACGCACCAAACACTAAAGCCAGTGATGACATTGAAGCATCAATCTATCAACTTCTTCAGTATGAACTTGATCAAATGTGCAATCAAGTTGTATTGATAATTACTGGCTACTGCAATGCAAAGGTTAGAAACAAAGAAGGATCAGTGGTTAGAAAATATGGCCTTGCTGATAGAAATGATGATGGAGATCACATGAGAGAATTTTGCAACACCAATGACTTCATTGCAAATACCTTTTTTAAACAACATAAAAGATGACTGTATACATGGACCTCACCTGACGGAATACACAGAAATCAATTGACTACATCTGTGGAAAGACACATTGTTAACGCTCCCTATCATCAGTGAAAACAAGGCTAGGGGCAGGCTGTGGAACAGACCATCAATTGGTTGTATGCAAAT